ATATTACTGATCCAGATTCCTCATCAAGGTCCAGGAAAAAATATCAGGCCCTTAATTTTTTTTTGTTAAGTGTGAGTCTATCCATGAAGAGCCAAGCTGGTAGGACTACCTAATCACTACTATTCTCTTATTAAGCACACTGCAAATTTATTAATTCTTAAAGAGATAATCAAGGTAAATATTTAAGGAAATGCCAAGACCCAAATCAGGCAAGAAAATCAAATCTCTTTCATTAGAATTTCTGTTGGATTATAAATTCTCCATTTAATAGTAATTCAGTATTGACATGAAAGAGTTGAGAAAATTTTATGTTACATGCTGAAATTTTACCATTCTATTACTATGTAACATTGCGGCAACCTACACAGCTAGAGGGTTAATATACCCGAAAGGGGGTGATGGAATGATGGAGAAAAACACAGAAACAGTATATACAAAAGCTGGGGCCAGGTGGGACACTGCACTCTGCTCAGATATAGTGACCCCGAGGCAAGCTCAGCATGTTTATTATATACTTTTGAAGGTCAAGGAAGGGTTGGGAATCTTCTTCTCAGGACCTGAAACTTGCTGGCAGCAATAATTTCCCAAGGCCTGTCTGTACTGGGTTATCTATGTTAAACTACAAGCAGCTGTCTGTTCACTGTTTTGCTTCTCTTTCCTTGGCAGATTATAACACAGTCAAGCATGGCTTTGACAATGCTTCGGCCATGGGTCAAGCTCAGATCCAGCTCTCTACATAACATAATAGTTTTTCTAGTCTTTCTTACTGAGTCTACTAGAAACATTATTCCCTAGCATTTGATTCATATAAATATATGACTTCTATTTTGAAAATTACCCTTTTATATCATTTTTCCACCTCCTTAAATTGAGTCTTATTCTTCCAATAAGAAAGATACTTCTTTCTAAATTTAGAGAAATTATACAAACTTATTAAAGGCTATATGTTTTTATGAAGCTATATGTTCATAGTACATACACACACACATACTAGCAAAAACAGTTGTTGAACTATAAAGACATAACAGTGAAAGTAAAGAGTATTCTTTTGTGTAGTTATGGCGCTGAATTCTAAAAACAAACTGACATCTCAGTTTATTTTACTTACACAATAAGTTTAATTTACATAGAAATGATAGATAATTTCAGGAGCAAGTCTTAAAAACAATTTCTGCTGAATGACTGCTGTAATAATCTCCTTAAGAGAGAAATAAACATAAACTAAAACAGGAGTTGTAAAACAGATATAGTAGCTCTCAGCTGAAGACAAAACTCAGTATTTAGTAGGAGAACACTATAAAAACAGAAGGGGTTTTGTTTTAAATTGCTGGCTAACATCAAAATCTGTTTCCTTAAAACTTCAATCCTAAGCATATCAAAAGCCATTTATTAAAGCAGGTGCCCAGGCAATATACTAAAATATGAACTATCTTCTGAATTCTGCCCTATCCACCTAAGAAGAGGTGGTTTTTCAGTGCTTCAATGTCCAGGGCATAGGGATATGCTTTCCACAGGTTCTCACTTAATAGAACTAGAGATCGTATTGGCAATCAATGTACGAAATTATTTGCAAGAGTTAAATACAAAGGTTTATTTGTTTTCTAGGAACTGTGAACACTTACGTAAGAAGTTACATTTTCTTAGTTATAGTGACATAAGTCAGAGTTTGACTCTGAAAGTTAAAAATTTTCCAATAGAATGTATCACAAATATATTTTTAACAAGTAAATTTAATCAGCAAAGCTTTAATAGTCTAAAATTTGTAGAACTTAAAAAGGATTTAGAATAAAACAATAAAAAAATTATTTAGCTTTAGTAACTGGAAAATTATCACTAACACATCGTTTTCCTTTCTTCCAATAAAAAATTACATGTCTTTATGTATAAATTCCTAACATTAAGAAATTCCCTAAAATTCATGAATCCAGAATTTATAGTAAACAATTTATATATTTGTATGACACTCACTTATTATTTGACAAATATCATGAGGACACAGAAAGTTTCCTCAAATTTCTCAAAGACATGCATTAAAAAAAATATTATAAGTAATAACTTACACCTTAAGAAAAATAAACCAAACTCACACCTTTAGTTTACTTAACATCATTTTCTTTTTTTTATTCCATTTACTCATTTTTTCCTTACTTTAATACACTTTTTTATGATATTTATTGGGATGACATTGGTTAATAAAATTATATAGGTTTCAAGTGTAATCAATAATATGTCACATGTATATTGCATTATGTGTTTACGACACAAAGTTAAATTTCCTTCCTTTATCATATTTTTTAATTTTTAATCTTACTAATTGGCATTTATCTTTAAATCACCTTAAACCATTTTTGGAAGAAAACGAGATAGGAGGGAAAGATAATGAGAATAAAGGAAATTGAGAAGAGAGGAAGATTGTAGCAGAGGAGATGAGGGAAGGCTTCCTAAAGGAGGAGACATCTGAGCCAAAATCTGAAGGCAGGTAGAGGCAGGGGTATCATGAACAGGAAGAAAGGATATTTCGAAGAAAGAAAAGAGTGTAGAAGTACAATGTGTGAATGAAAAATAGTAGGTTGGTTAAATCTAACTTGAAACTTGAAGGCATAGCTCAGAAATAGAAATTAAGAATATAAAAAGACAGGTCCACATATGCGTTAAATCCCACTATAATGAACCATAAACAAATTCAACACAGTGAAAATTGTGTCATTATTCGTATATAACTAGAACTTATACATCTCACTCCTAAAATGTAGGAAATGAAATTCAATTAATAATCAACCTTCAACAGTGAAATTAGCAATGAAAACAAGTATTTTAAAAAAGACATGAGATGCAAGAAGGTATACAACAAATGCTATAACAACCAGACTTTCCTCTCCAACCTCTGGGTCTTCTGTTGTGCTAAGTTTTATGCTAGAAAGATAAGTTTACTATTGATCAATATGCTGGGAGAATAAAAGGAATTGGTATTTGAAGTTCAGGGATCCATTGATCTAAATTTGAAAAACATTGAATAGAAATTTAAATCCTGTGATTTTGTGTGATCACTTGGGGCCAATGTGATAATGAATACAAATGAGATTGCAGGCACAAGAAGTGGGAACCTTGATAATGCAAAATATTTTTTCTCTCTCTATATAAAATCATGAAAGTGAAAACTCAAAATATTTTGATTATCATGGACTATGGTCCACCAAAAATAAATCTGTGACCCTCCCTTATGTCCAGTAATTAGGTAGGAGATCCAGGGGAAAGGCGTCACCTATACATGGGATTATCTAATAAGAAACACTAGTTAGATTTTTATATAGATATTGGAGGATAGAAATTGAGAGTGAAAAAGATGCAGATGTGAAAAAGAATAAGGTTTATTTGGAGAACACCTATCCAAGTTAACAAGTGTACATATCTTTGGAAAAAGAGTAAAATATGAGCCCCATTAGAACAAACAAACAAACAATGCCATATAATATAGATATTCTATAATCAAAATATTACCAGTGTGCAGCATGTAATTATTGAACTCAAGTAGAAATGGGCAAACGTTTTTTATGTGCAGCAGAAATTTTCAGGGAATTAAATATACTTAAGTTATAAATGCTGCAAAACAATGTCAAGAACTATGAAGGGCCTAAGATTTTACCCTGCTTGTAAGCTAACAAGTTAGCCTGCTACAGTTTCATGGATGCTGCCAGAAGACACTAAACTCCTGGGTCAGAGCCAAAAAACTTTGTTATTACTCAGTATAGCAGGCAGCATGAGCTTCATGTTTTTATCTGTTCCTCTTGACCTTCAAATTCTAAACGGGCAATGTGGATAGGCCAAGGATAGAGGGTGAGCAGAGTGAGACTGTTTCACAGCTGAAGAACCTCAAACTTACGAAACCCAATCTTATAAGGGGGTTGCTAGCAAACCTGCCCACTTTTTGCCACCAGTGCAGGAAGCGAAGAGTGTTATTTTTAGCACCTTGGACAGCAAACATGTCTGCCCTTTGCCCTGAAGGAAGACACAATCTCTGTCTTCCAAGGTGGTTTTCTATGCAAAAATCCTAGAAAAGATAGTCCAGAACAAAAGCTTGCAATAGTTTTGCTCAGAGATATGCAAAAACCCAAAAAGTTTATGGAGAATTTTCTCCCAACAAACATAAACTGTTTCATATATTCTTTATGCTATTGTTTAACCAAGTAATCCATTTTGATCACTTCATTAAAGGGCCAAAAAGGCATAGAGAAATGTCAGAGTTTCCTTAGAAAAGTAAAATAGCTGTCAGGTTATCACACTAAACAAATGTGTCCATATACACTTTACTAAAAATACTTAACAGGACACAGAATGAGTAAAACTTCGAGCTTTAACAAAATATTCACCTAAATGATATATGACATTTTCAAAGGCTCCTACCAGTGGTATCATGTGAAGTACCTAATGATTACAAGGCCTAATACTTTATCAAGTCATAAGTAAATAAGTTATACCCAATTTGTTAGCCAAATATCAATTTTCTCCATATAAATATGAACCTTCAAAAATTTATTAAGGAATAATAAGTATACAAAGTGATCATATGATCTACATATCATTGTAGAATGATAATCAAAATCAAGATAATTAATATATCCATCTCCTCACAAAGTTAACAAGGGTAACTTTTTTTTTTTTCTTAAGATAAGCACCTAACAGAATACTTATTCCTCGTGGCACGGCAGAGGATTCAACCTCTTAAAACATTAAAAAAAGTTAAATTAAAATTTGCATAAATTTGTTTTACAATGACTCACCACAAAATATTAAGGCATGGGAAAAATATGTTTGTATAACAACATAAACTTTTAAATTGAAATATATTTCTAAAATAACCATTAAAAATAAATGAAAAAAAGCAAAATGTTTTTAAAAACATCTTTTGTAGAAAGAGTACATGACTGCTTCAACTTCAAAACCTCTATTTGGATCATTTAAAATTGGAACAGGCAAGGTTGAAGTTGTATATATGACCATACCTCTCCTAGGGCTTCGTATCTTTTCTGGTTCCATCTGTGCAAGTCTTCTCGGTAGTTAAAAACAAATGGTTCCCCAGTTTTTATGTGTCTTAACTGTCCCTCTAGAAGATAAACAAACAATATCGCTATCATTCAGAGTATATTACATAATAATATGGAAAGTACAACTAATAATATCTGATAAAAATTTAAAAGAACTTTCTCAGAAGTTTCATTTTTTAATAATTTTTTCTTCAAATATCAGTATGATTCATGTACAAATACTATAAAAGAATGACCCCGAATACTAAAATGCTATGCTTTCTGATCTTCATTTTCTAACCTAAAGTAAATGAACAATATTTGAGAGACTACAATATATAAGGATCTTTGCTAGCCACAGCCAGGAACATGATCCCAGTTCTTAAGCATAGAGGCTACCTGAGGAGTAAAAGCATAAGTATTAAAAAGTTAAGCGACTTTTCAGGAAGTTAGACAAGACTGAAGTTAGTTGACAATCTAAATACTGCCACAGGCAATTCATGTAGACAATAAAGTCTAAAATGAGTTTGGAAAAATGAAAGATCCCTAGAGGCTAGAACAGGTTCAGAAGGTTTCAGTGAGATTTCTCAAGTAGGCCTTGAAATACGGGTAGAATTTGAAACAGAAATTGAAGAGAGGCAGTCAGCTAACACAGGCTTGGACTCTCAAGTCAGACTCACTCAATTCAGAGATTTTACTGATAATTAAGAACTTCACTAATAATCTCAAGAGTGCAAGCAATCAAAAGGCACAGACAAAACATGGGGAGGCCTGGGACAACCCAGGAATTTTTTCTCAGGTCCCTTCCTTCCATTAGATGGCACTCTCTGGTCCTGAGTAGGTGAGGTCTCATTTAATTTTGATAATTAAAATATAAAGAAATTTTTAAAACCAAATATTACTACTCATATATATTTTGGCAGAAGACATGCTTTTAAAAAAGCGTGAAATTAATATTAGAAAAGACATCAAAGTTTCTAATATCTACTACTTAACCTCATTTAATATTCTAGTATAACTGATATTGTAAAGGGATATCCACTAACATAGTGATGACAGATCGCCAATTTAATTGATGCAGAACAACAAATATAAAGCTACAACTCAAACACTATCTAGCCTGTAACAACATTACCTTTCAAGTACAACAGTGTGTTATTAATACAATGAATCATAATTCATTGTTCCAGAAACATTCTGGCAATCTATGGTATGTTCTTCCAAAGGTCAAGTGCAAATTTTATTTTATTCAGAACTTAATTAACAAATTTTAAAATAAGGATGTTGTCTGAAAAAAATCATAGAAAACTAAGTATTGTGCTTTAAAATATTCACAGATAATCACTGCCAGTCATTTCATTTTAAGTAACATGGGAAACAGTAGCATATTTCTATATAATTTAATTGGGAATTCCAATTGGATACCAGGGAGTTGAAAGTTCAAGGCTGAAATACATAAGCTGAATCTAATGCATGTCCATGGGTTTAAATGACTTGACAACTATGGCAAATTATAACTCGGTTCTTCTAATTAAGTGAAGAATTTCACCATGAAAGGATAAGACATTATTTCTCATAAGAAATACATAAAATAGTCTAGCTGACAAATAAAAGTAGCAAATAATATCTGACCTATGATTCTATTAGCATTGTGAAATACATATTGCACATAGTATACACCACTTACTTTCATTAAAAGCATATTCAAATCCTTCCAGGGTATCAGGAAAATCAAGAGGTGGCTCATCTTTTTTCATTAGTTCATCTAAATCTATCCTAGATAATAAATCTAAAAAAAAAAAAAAAAAATGAAATTTACTTATATTAATTTTCAGTTAATAAAGATTATATTTTTAAGTCATTTTAAGTATTCTTTTGTTCTACTGAATAACTTTTTGTGTTGCCTGATAATACTATTAAACTTTTAAGTTCTCAGAGTGCTATATTATAATGAAGTACAACATCAACATAACATAAGCACTTTCAAAATCATAATTCTCAAAACAATCAAAACTCAGATTGTATGTACCACTATGGTAATTTATTAACTTCTTCCTTTCAAAATATAGAGCTATTAATTTATAGTTTATTAATCTCCTATAGTTTTAAAAGTTTCAAATATGATTTTTAAAAGGTCACTAAATTTTACATATAAATGAAACAACTGTTTATTGATAAAGAAACAAATCTAAATAGTGGCAATCAACCATATTATTCCATTTTTAGGGGGAAATCACAATACTAAAATAAAACATGCTAACTAAAGAAAACTGGTTAACACAAAGCAGTTTTTATTCTTCACATCGTTTTATTCTATATGATCAAAAAAAATTGTCAAGAGGTTTTTTTAATAAACATTTTATTTTGGAATCGTTTTAATTTACAGAAAAGGTGTAACAGTAAGATAATGTCTGTATAACCTGTACCTAGATTCTCCTATCATTACCATCCTACGTTACCACGGCACATTTGTCAAAATGAAGAAACCAATGTTAGTACATTACTATTACCTAAGCCTGGATAATACTCATCAGTTTTTCTATTAATGTACACTTTCTGTCCCAGGATTCCATTCAGGATAACACACTGTATGTAGTCAGCATGTTTTCTCAGTCTCTTCTTTTACAGTTTTCAGTCTTTGCTTCTTTTCCATGATCATGACTATTTTGAGGAGTACTAATCAGGTATTTTGTAGAATGATCCTCAGTTTAAATTTGATATTGTTTTCTTGTGATTAGACTAGGGTTATAAGTTTTTTCAAAGAATACCACAGAAGTGAACTGCCCTTCTCACCATATCACATCAAGGGGAGCATGATATCCACAGGACATCACTGAGGATGTTAACTTTCCTTCATCAGTTGGTGAAGGTAGTGTTTGCCACGCTTCGTCACGATGAAATTACTATTTTTTCCTTTCCATAATCTATTCCTTGGAATTGACTAAGTCTAGCCCACACTTTCTAATTCTTCCGTATGGAAGATTTGTCCCTCCCTCCATTTACCAATTTATGCAATCACTTATTTATATACGTATGGACTCATGGATATTTATTGTATATTTTGGGTTACAATCAAATTCTACATCATTTACTTTGTTGCTTAAATTGTTACAATGTTGGCCATTGTAAGCTCTTTTCAGCTGGCCCTTATCTCCATTTGAGGTGCTCTCATCTTTTTGTTTTTTGAGCATTTCTTTAGAACTTTCTCCTACTACAAGAAACTCCAGGCTTATCTCGTATTTTCCCTGCCCCAGCCCTAGAATCAGTCTGTCAGCAAGCATTTAATGATATCTTTTGGCTCATATTATGGGATGAGGCAAAAATTCTCACTATATGCCATCAGAGTCATACTGAAACTCAGAAAAATAAGATAAACTTCAAATTTGTTCAGTTCCAAAAAGATGTATTTTTTAAAAAAGTTTAAGTTTTGAGATTTTTCATTCTAACTCAAGTTTCTGAAGAGAAAAAGCTCCTAGGATATATAATAAAGCAAACAAGTTCATTTTCTACAAAAGAAATATCTCAGAAGTAACACTTTATTTCCGTGTCTCACAGACATATAACAAATCCATCTGCATGGTTCATCAAAATCTGTTAGAGAAAAAGTTAGCCTATCTACTTCCAGTGTCTAGTCTCTCCCTATAGGACACAAAAATAAGCCATCAAAAAACTTATTTAAAAAATCAGTGTTTGGTACTCTTCAAACGCTATCTCAAATAAACCTCAACTAGCACAAAATATATATCATCTTCAACATGCAACATTAAAAAAAGTTTGTAAATTCTCTAGTAAAATGGAAATGTCAGATAATAAATATACACACTAGGCTAGAAAAGGGGGATATATGCTGACAAATTTCTAATTTATTAGAAAAGTTCTAGATAGCATGCAAATCTTTACAAAACTGAGTAAAATAAATTTTTTGATATCAAAAATTGGCTTGGAGTGGCTAGAAGATTCTCACTTTTCTCCTTCCAATGGACTGAGGTTTTGGGGCAAAATTGGATTCCTTTACTTCGCAGTCATCTTCCATAGTTCAAAACTTGGAAACTTTTTAATCAAACACACAGAAACCATCCAATATATAAACAGATGTATTATGCCTAATAGTCATTTTCTCTATCAAGCTCAGATCATAAAATGCCACCTAATATATCTATATGTCATTTTAAAGATTTCACATACTTTACCTCATCACAAACCCATAAAATAGTACCATGTATTATCATCTTCACTCTCTTTCAGACAAGGAAATGGGCTCAAAGAGGTAAAATGGCTTGCCCTTAAATTATACCTTAATGGTGAAGTGCAATTAGTAAAATAATGTATTTCCCAATACCTAACTCGGTGCTCTTTCAAAATCACCATACTTATTCTATGTGTCATATCAACCCTAAAATATTCTGCCCCTTCTGTTCATTACCTTATAAAGAATAAACAGTTATGAATGCAGAAATATGCTTTTGCTTTGATCAAAATGTTATTTTGAATGATAAGATGAACAATAAACAGGCATTCCTCAAACTTCTGTCAACTAGAAAAGCAGACATAGATATTTTTTTATTTCATTAGCATTAAGAAAACATGCGGAAAGGAATTGTCAGATTATTTTTCTGCTTCGTAAAAAGAAAGCAATACTGTATAGCTGCAATTGACACAGAGACTGGGTTCCAAAGCAACTGAACAAAGGTACAAATCTAGTATAATAAAATATTTCCATTGAAAATCCCTTCAATCGCCTATAAAATACAGTACAATTGAACCCATATAACCTACACTAGAATTCTAAACTTCAAATAAGCATATATGATAACTAGATAGAAACACCATTTGATACCCCAAATAATTGAAAATAGAGACTCGAACAGGTATTTACATACCCACGTTCACAGAGGCATTATTCACAATAGTTGAAAGATGGAAACAACCCAAGAATGGTGTGGTGGGTAATTTTACGTGTCTATTTGACTGGGTCATGGGGTGCCCATATATTTGCTTAAACATTATCCTGGGTGTGTCTGTGAAGGTGTTTCTGGACGAGATTAACATTTGAATCTGTAGACTGAATAAAGCAGACTGCCTCACCTCCTCCCCAGCCCGCCTCCATATGAATGAACTTCATCTGATCCACTGAAGGTCTGAAGAGAACAAAAATTTATACCAAAAGAAATCCAGAGAACATATGTAGGACTAGATATTAAGGATGTAAGATAATGGTGGAAGAAACAATCAGGTCGAATTTATTGATAAAGGCTCACTAAGTAGAGCTTCTGTATTTATTGATAAGCTTGGGGAGTTAGAAAGGGCTCTAACAGTTTGGCTGTCTGAAACAGACTAAAAGGTGGCCCACAGTGAGTGACTTTGCTTTGGCTTAATGTAAAAGAAGGGATTCAAAGGTTTAGGAAGATAGGAATGTTAGAGTGGATTTGTCACTGAAGATCTACTTACCCACAATGAGGGAGTCCAGAAGACATTCCTTTGCCCACTACTATGAGAAATACATTTGTGAGAACCCTGACATCCATGAAGAGCTTTATGTGGATCTTCTCTCATGCTAAACCTTATAGGGGAAATTAAAGTCATTGAATTAAGAAACCTAAATGCAATGTGAGTCACTGGATCCTGGGGTGGAGCAGCCAAGTGGCAGCAGTCATCCAACTGGCAAAGGCAACGTGGGCATGGTTACCCTAATGGACAGTAGAGTTAAAGCAGCAATCAGAAGAGTCTGACTTGCACAGACCAATGGCACTGGCTACTTAAACATAATGTTTCTAGAAGTGAGATAGGAGGCTTGCTAAATTCTTACTTGGTATGTATAAGCAGAAAAGTTCTAGGTCGAATGAACAAAAGTCTAACCTGAATCATAAAAACAGAGTCACAGTCAATTCTCAGATTTAAGCCAGGGTACAGAACCAGAGCCTCTTTGGAGAGGCCAAGTCCCCATAAGGAATGATCCAGGTACACTGCCAAGAATTATACTATTAATCTTTCTCCCATCTTTCCCCAAAGGGACCTATAGCCTTTTACCAGAGTAACTGCACTGGGAAAAAAGAAATTATCAGATCTTTCATGGACTTGTGGACACTGGCTCTGAAATGACAGGGACCTATAGCCTTTTACCAGAGTAACTGCACTGGGAAAAAAGAAATTATCAGATCTTTCATGGACTTGTGGACACTGGCTCTGAAATGACAGAAAGGAGACCCAAAAGGTTACTGAGGTTTACCAGTCAGAGTAGAGGCTTATGGAAGATAGGTGTTCAATGGCATTTTAGCTCAGATCCATTTTACAGTGGTCCCTGAACCCACTCTGTGGTTATTTCTCCAGTTCCAGAATGTATAATTAGAATAGATATTGCAGAAACTGGCAGAATCCTCACATTGGTGCCCTGACCTATGGAATGAGGGCTATTGTAGGAAAGGCCAAGTGAAAGTCCCTAGAACTGCCTCTACCTAAGAATATGGTAAAACAAAAGAAATACAGCATTACTGGATGGACTGCAGAGATTAACGCCACCATCAAAGAATTGAAAGTTACAGGAATGGTGATTCCCATCACATTTCCATTCAATTCACCTATCTGGCCTGTCCAGAAGACAGATGGAACTTGGAGAACGACAATGGATTATCATTAAGCTTAACCAGGTGGTGACTTCAAATGCAGCTGCTATACCAGACATAGTTTCATTGCTTGAGCAAATTAATACATCCCCTGGTACCTGGTATATAGCTATTGATCTGGCAAATGCCTTTTTCCCCATCACTGTCAATAAAACCAACTAGAAGCAGTTTGCTTTCAGCTGGCAAGGCCAGCAATATACCTTCACTGTCCTATCTCAGGAATATATTGACTCTCCAGTCCTGTCATAATTTAGTTCACTTGATCTTGATCACCTTTCCCTTCAACACGGTATCATTCTGGTCCATTATATTGATGACATTATACTGATTAAACTTAGTAAGCAAGGAGTAACAACTACTCTAGACATATTGGTAAGATATTTGTGCATTAGAGGGTAGGAAATAAATCTGACAAAAATTCAAGGGCTTTCTACTCCACTATAATTGCTAGGGGTCCAATGATGTGGGTTATGTCAAGATATCTCTTCTAATGTGAAGGCTAAATTGTTGCAACTGGCCTCACCTACAACTAAAAATAGGCACAATGCCTAGTGGGTTTCTTTGGATGTTAGAGGCAACACAGTCCCCATTTGAGTGTATTACTCTAGCCCATTTACCCAAAATGCTACTACTTTTATATGGTACCAGAATAAGAAAGGCTCTGCAGCTGTGAGAGCTGCTCTGCTGCTTGGGCCATATGATCCATCAGATCCACTGGTGTCAGTGGCAGATAGGGATGCTGTCTGGAATCTTAGGCAGGCCCCTACAGGTGACTCACAGTATAGGCCTTCAGGATTTTATAGCAAAGCCCTGCCATCCACTGCAGATAACTACTCTCCTTTTGAGAAACAGCTCTTAGTCTGCTACCGGGACTTAGCAGAGACTAAATGCTTAATCATGGGCTACCAAGTTACCATGTAATCTTAGCTGCCCACCATGCACTGGGTGTTATTTGACCTACTAAGTCACAAAGTTGGGTGTGTACAACAGTACTCCATCATCAAATAGAAGTGGTTTATATGTGATCAGGACAGAGCAGGCCCTGAAGGCAAAAGTAAGTTACATGAAGAAGTGGTTTAAATGCCTAAGGTCTTCACTCCTACTACACCGCCTTCTATCTATTGGCATGCACTTAAGGCCTCATGGGGAGTTCCTACCATCAGATGACAGAGGAAGAGAAAACTTGGGTCTGGTTTATAGATAGTTCTGCATGATATTCAAGCACCACCCAAAAGTGGACAGCTGAAGCACTATAGCCCCTTTCCGGGACATCCCTGACAGATAGCAGTGAAGAGAAATCCTTCCAGCAAGCAGAACTGAGAGCAGTGCACCTGGCTGTTTAGTTTGTGTGGAAAGAGATTGGGCCAGACGTGTGATTATATAATGATTCATGGCTGTGGCCAATGGTTTAGCTGGATAGTCAGGGACCAGGAAAGAACATGATTGGAAAACTGGTGACAAGAAAATTTGGAAAAGAGGCATTTGAACAGACATCTCCGAATGGACAAAAAAAGTGAAGATATTTGTGTCTTAAGTGAATGTTCAATAAAAGGTGACCTCAAGAGAGGAAGATTTTAATATCAAGTGGATAGGATGACCCATTCTATGAAAACCAGTCAGCCTCTTTCCCCTGCCACCTGTCAGGGCCAATATTCACAACTCTAGAAATTAAGAGGTAAAAACAGGAGTGGTACCACTTACTATTACTGCTAACAAACAAGAAAAGAGTGTCCACTCTCACTATTCTTACTCAACATAGTATTAGAAGGCCTAGCCAGCATGAAAAAAACAAGAAATAAAAGGCATATAGATTGGAAAGAAATAAATAAAACTGTCTAATTTGCAAATGACATGATGGTCTACATAGAAAATCCCAAGGAATCTATCAAAACAACTCCTAGAACTAATAAGTAACGTCAGCATAAGATATAATAAAACTTGATTGTATTCCCATAAATTATCAGTAAACACGTGGCAATTGAAATTAAAAATTCAATACAACTTACATCACTCTAAAAAATTAAAACTTACAAATAAATCTAATAACAAGTATATAAGAGTTATATACTGAAAATTACAAAGTACTGTGAGGGAAACCAAAGATCTAAATAAATGAGAGACACATGATGTTCATAGAAGGCTCAATATAGCAAAGAGGTCCATTCTCCCCACATACATCTATAGGTTTAAATATAATTCTTAATCAAAATCTAAGTAAAATTTTTTTTGCAGATATAAACTACTTTACTCTAAAATTTACATGAAAAGGCAAAGGACCTAGAATAGCTAAACAATTTTTAAAAAATGAGGTAGAAAGAATCATTGTATTCAATTTTAAGACTTACTATACGGTAATCAAGAGAGTATGGTACTGGAGAAGAGACAGACACAGATCCATGGAATAAAAAAGAGCCCCAAAACAAGCCCACCCGAATATGCCCACTTCATTTTTGATAAAGGTGAAGAAGTAATTCAATGATGAAAAGACAGTCTTTTTCACAAATGGTGCTAACACACTGGGCATCAATAGACAAAAAATAAATAATAAACCTTGACCTAAGTCTCATATCTTATTAAAAAAATTAACTCAAAATGCATGATTATTTTAAATGTAAAATCTAAAACTAGAAAACTTTTAAAAGAAAACAGGAGAAAATCTTCATGAACTAGGGTTAGGCAAAGAGTTTCTAGACATTACACCAAAAACATAATCTATAATAGAAAAAATTGATAAACAGGACTGTCTTAGATGTAAAGTTTTATTCAGTTTGCCAATTGGTTCTAAAATATACTTTCCTACGCATTTACATTTTATTTTCTAGTATTTCCAATTCAACTCCTTCATTAATCATTCCAAGCTCATATGTGCAAAGTCTTCTTATTCATATTGTACTAATGAAGAAAAAGTTTCAGTTAAGCCACTGGTTCACGGTAAGTGGAAAAACCTGAGTTTGAATCCAGAGAGTCCTACCTTTAGACCCTATTCATATTCTTTTAAAGTCACCTCCAAAATCCTTAAAATCATTCTGAACTCTTATATGCTGCTTGTGGAAGTGTAAAATGTAAAATAACTTGAGACCAAATTTTAATATTATCAAGTAAGGTTAAAGATACACAAAATCTAGGAGAAAACTCAGCAAATCTATTTAGATAGAAACTCACAGACATTCCTGTCCTCTCTCCAAAATTAACCATTTTTCTGAGTGGAGTGGTCATTCCCAGCAGCACACAAAATGTAGTAAAACCTTCCATATTGTTGTCTACAGCTGTCTCCAATTCTCTTCCCATTCTCTGTTCAAGTTTTCCAAGATGGTTTTCATTTTGAGCAATTCACTGAAACAGCTCTTTGTGAAGATCAAAACTGACCTCCACACCTTCAAACTCAAAAGTAAATTCTCAGTCTTTATCTAACCTGACTCATCGCCATGACTGAATAACTCCTATTTTCTTCATTTGGTGTCCAGCATCATTCTCTTGCTTCTGGTTCTCAGTCTATCTTACTTGAAATTCATTTTCAGCCTTATTTGCTGGTTTCTCATCTTTCTGACCCTAAGGTTGAGATGCTCCAGGGCTCAATATTCATATTTCCCCTCTTTTCTAGTTACACGGACATTCCTGGTATATAGCCAGTTATGACCATAATGTTAAGTATTATCTCTGTGCTAATGATTCCTCAAACTATCATCTTTAACCCAAATGTTTTCCGAAACTCCAAACTCAATTTCCCCACCTTCACGTTTAAGGACATCTCAGTTTAATATTTACTACATCTAAAACCTAACTCTTGCTTTCCACCAGCACCACTACAACCTGATTTTCCCACACTTTTCTTAATCTAATTAATGGCACCTATCTTAGAGCTATTTAGGCCAAGAAACTTCAAAGTTATCTTAGTTGCTTCTCTGAATTCTCATGTCTAATCCAACAGCAAGTCATGTTATCTCTTCCTTCAAAACATAACCAGAATCTGCCCTCTTTATCATCCCTTCTGATACCACCCTAATCCTCAGCATGCTCTTAGTCATTTTCCATTTTTGTAAGTAAGGGCCAGTAACATTCCTTTGATAGATCATTTACTCTAAAAGCAGGGACAAGGTGAGGCAAATTGAGTTAAGGAACCAGTTGCCTTATCTTATACATGCTTTAGGCTTTCCTGAGAAGAGAAAAAAGAAGGTATCTTTTAACAAGAAGAGATTCTTAAGGTATCTTTATCATCCAGCCTGGCACAGTAGGGTAGGACAGCAGCTAGAGATTCAGAGAAGTGGCCATAGCCCATAAGATATTTTTTCCACCACCAAACAAAGTAACTGAGACCTTGCACAAGTTACTTAAATAACTGGATTTTTGGCAAGTTACTAGACAGTTAGACTGAAATATATGATAATGAAAAAAATCTTATTTTAGACAGCAGATTAAAAAAAAAAAAATCTAGAACTCAAAATTCCCGAAGAATGTCTAAAGCAGATTCCTTCTGAGATGCTAACATGGTGAGCCTCTCATAAAATGTCCCTAGTGCCAATGCCACAAAGAATACAGGATTAGGCAGATCATTATCCTAAACCTAATATGACATTCATATCAACAAAAACATGGTAAGGGCACTAGTCCTGACTCCAGAACCTACAGTGTTAATTTTACCATTAAATATAAGGACTTAAATAAGAAAAGCATTAAGAATTCTTACAGCTGTAAAATTACATGATTCTATGATTTATGTACTGAGTACAGACTACATCTCAGATGAGATAGTTATTGTGAGGGATAGGAATAATTAGAAGTAGATTAAATGCTATTCTTATGTTAAATTTGAAATTAATGGCAGGTCACCTAAAAAGTCCTATTCCTATACCTAACAAAGGTTAGGCACAATGAAAATATCCTGAAAAAGCAAATTAAGTATGTACCTTTCAGTGCTGTGGTCTTTTCTTTTTCATCTGGACCTCCCTGCTGGATTTGTGCCATGTTTATCCAAATTGGCAACAAAATTAAAGAGCTCAAGGAAATAGACATCAATCTTCAGAAGACAGTCTAGAATGAATGAAAGCAATAAATTAAGCTCTACTCAGTCCTACCTACTCCATGAGCACTTCCTTGATCCTTCCAGTTGGGATTAATCTCTATCTTGATTTCCCACTGCACTTTGTTGCCTATACTACAGTACTTATCAAAGCCTGCCTTGCATTATAGTTATTTATGTATTTTGTCTGGGTCAGCTAACAGATTACAAGCCCCAGGATAGAGGTATTAAGTTTTTCCATCATTATATCTCTCATGTCACCAAACAGAATACCTTACAGTACATACAGGTACCTAATGTTGCTGAATTGAATTTAGCTAAACCTACTATTGAGGTTTAGTTCTTTATCATCTAATTACAAAAAAATATCTCCGGATAGTTTCAAAACTTTAAATTCCTTCTTAAACTGTAAATATGTGACATTTACAAGGTCAGAATCTCTTCTCCTGGACCCTGCACAATCAGAGAAAATACATAAATACATAAAATAGCTATAAATTACATTTAATATAATTCAAAATACAACTTTAAGTGAAAAACTTAACCCTTTTAAATATGAAATTATGTCACAGTTAATATCCGGAAGCCATACTCTACAAATGGCACTCCAGTAAACAGTAATAATATAAAATTATTTATGATTTATTAAAATCTAATTCTGCATTTAAATTAAAATAGATGGTTTTTCCCAAGGTGCCCATGAACAGTAAAAAAAAAAAAAAAAAAAAAAAAAAGAACTCACTACTCCTAAAGACTAAAAGAAAAAAAAATACACTAAATACAATGGAAAAAATTAAATTAATTTAGTCAATCGATAACTGTTAATGAAATTATACATAGACTAAATTCATGACAAGAATAAAATGAGACTGAATATTCCTCTGATTAAGGAATCCAAGTGACTTGCTACCCACAAGCAAACATCGATTTCCATTCAGAGGTACATTTTATAATTATCTTTAAAATTTAAGGCATTTTCACAGTCAGCAGAGTGTAGCAGAAAATACTGAAAGTAATTTTTTTAAACTATAAATGTTCCAAATGGTCTTAAATTAATGCTGCCCTATCTGTAGGTGGAGTGGTGTAAAAGGAAGGACACTCTGGCTCTACCATTAACTAGCCATGTGTCCTTGACAAATTACCTAACTTCTCTGTGCCTCATTTTCTACATTTGTAAAAGGGAAATGATAAATCATACTGCCTTCATAGTGTTATAGTACATTTAAATGTAAAACATTTAGTACAGTGCCTGATGCATAATTAAGTGCTCAACATATGTTGGCTTATATTTTTTAATTGTTGTAAATGTGTCCCAGCTTCACCATTTAAAATAGCTCTGGGCCAGGGACAAGATCATTTAATATCCAAAATCTTCTGTTTCCTCATTTATAAAATGTCGCTCATATAATAGTGGTTGAGAATTAATATTATAGAAGGTGTATATAGCTGATCATTGCTACTATTAGCAATATTATTGCTTCTCAAAGGTGTGAGGTTCCGTATCAGCAATAACTAGAATATGAGACTATTTTTGACTGGGAAAGTATTTTCACTTAACATGCAAGTAATTGTTATTTTTCTTATGTGAATAGGTAACTTAAAATGCTATAAATTCTACATAAATAAAATGTGTCTATATTCCTTCAAGAGACATATCTTGTTCTACAGGGTAGGCAGTGTGTAAGATGCTAGAGTACAGTGGTGAGTCAAATGGCATGGTTGACCTGAGTGGGGGCTTACTCTCTAGCTGCCAAATCAAAGTGCCAAAGAGCCACAAATAAAATATGTAAATCCTAGACTGATAATTATAATACTGTTATAAAAAAAAAAAAGTATTTGTAATGGCTGTTTATTTACATTCAGGAATTTATCTGTGAAATCCCACAAGTTTGTGCACAGTTTCACTAACAACTTATACACCATCCTGTAGCAGAAATTAAAGAAAAATGTTCATAATGAGAGATTCCATCTTTGCTAGCAATTCCACAACTAATTAACTAGCTACATGGGACTTCTTGCATTTTCTACTCTATCCCTCTGACAATTCAGTATTTATTCTAAACATAAACTGTTAGGTTATTTTTCATTGGTCCCAAACTGTCTGAGTTCTAAACAGAACAATTTATGCAATTATTTCGTTGTGACTGTTTTAATGAAAGTGAAATTATAAAATATTTTTGGCATGAGTCATTTTCAAGATTCATATTTTAAAGTTCTGGGGATCTAATGCACAGCTTGATGATTATAGTTAACAACACTGTATCGTATATTTGAAAGTTGTTATGAGAGCAGACCTTAGAGGTTCTTACCACACACACGGAAGCTATGTGAGGTGATAGATGTGTTAACTAACCTTATTGTGATAATCATTTTACAATACATCAAATCAGCATACTGTACACCTTAAACTTACATAACGCTATATGTCAACTATATCTCAACAAGGCTTTTTAAAAGATCTAAGTACTCTACCATGTTTAATAACAGATTCTCCTTTTCGACTTTGATCTCCATGAGGACTGGTAGCGTATCTGTCCATAGCACAACGTCTGGCATATTTGGAGCTCAATGGATATTTGTCAAATTTACAAATAAATAAGTAAAAGACAAGAGGAGAAAAGATCCACATTTTAAAGAATTATTTTCAAGATTCCCAATATTACATATCGATTAATAATCATATTCTTATTTCATATGAGATAACCTAAATATACATGTTGCAATTCATTGAAGTGATAATATATGTTAGGAGACTGCTAATTACTATCTGAGACCCTAAACCATATAGCAGCAGATGCAAAGAAGGTAAGCATGAAGCAAAAGCCATTTGTCTGTGGCACTCTTATTCATTGTTAGATTTTTACCCTTCTGAGTTATTTTCCATGGCTGTGGCACAGCTGGTAAAACTAAATCAGAAACATTACAAATCCTCAATTTAGTTTTCCTAATGAGAATTCAGAGTTATAACCTGCATGACCACAGATAAACACTACTGAAAATGCAGCCAGCAAGCCGTTTGATATATTTGATATATATTAATATGTGCACTCCACATAGTTTATTGAGTATTATCTGATGGAGGTTAGGTTATAGGGAATAAAGTGGAAGGTTTTCACTGATATGAATTGGGACACAGTTGACATGTTGTATACTTCATGATAACCACTGCCGTTTAAATATGGTTTCCTAGAAATGGTTACAGTATAAACTAGATTCAAAACATCTCAGTTTGCGATTTCATTCTGTGAACTACACAAAGCAATTATCATATCTTCTTCCCTATGATTCCAACAGAGAATCCACTATGTATAAATAAAGCTGTAAATAACTTGTCATGTGTAATCTTTATCCAGTCAGCATTTCAAAACATGAAAAGTAGAATATTTCTTAGCTGCTCTGTTTGCTCAAAATATGGCCTGAGCACTTCTAAAATGTACAGAAAGATACACAGAAGCCTTAGTTTTCCATGTCTATTTGCTTTTAGGCAGGTATTAAATGAGAACTAGATATAGACCATTTTTGCAACAGAAGGTCTTTCTACTGTCACATTCTAAATGATGAATGTACAAAATATATCACAAGACAAGTAAAATTGGGTTAAGTCCCTGAAATCCTTGGAGCTGATTTGGTCCTAAAGAACCTATGCTCACTAGGTCAGGCTCTGGAAATCTACCTCACAATAGTCTACTTGATGTTGAAAGTGCAACATGTGACATACCAGAGATTCGTGAGGAACCAAAAGACCCACCCAAATTACAGTTAAAATATCCATGTTACTCAAAAGTTGCTCAGCAGCAAAGGTTAGTTAATAATAATACTGGACGGATTATAGTTCTGACACTACAGTGCAAAAACTGTATGTTTGAGAAAGAGAAAGAGAGACAGAGAGACAGAGACAGAGAGAGTGTGTATGTGTGTGTGTGTCTGTACCCAGACATATGGACATTGGGGAAGAGGCTGAAGAATGAGGGAATCAGGCTGGAGCACACATGGAAGGCAAAGCCCAGGAAAAAATGGGCTCTTGGTGCATAGAAAATGGTGGCTTCAATAGAGAATGTAATCTGTGTTTGGATCAAGGTTTCGCTCAGACTAGGAATGTCTTGTTCCAATCTATGCCTATCTAAAATAATTCCTTAGTTTCCCAAGCAACATGATATTGTAAGTTTGAAATGAAAAACTCCAGGTTTTTTTTTTTTTATCTCAGTTCTATCACTTAGAAGCTGAATTACTTTGAGAATGTCACAACTTCTCTAACCTAAGTAATGAGAACAACGATAAAGAGCACTTCCTTTTCACAG